ATATATTTTTTATTTATTTAATTTTTTATTAATTTAATTTAATTTTTAATTTTTAAAGTTGTTTATAAACTTTTGTTCACCCACTATATATTTAAAGACTATTAGATATATATGAATATTTTTTTTTTTTTATAAGCAAAGTGCATTACATGCGAGACATTTATTAAACTTTAGTTTGTGGTCATTACATGAAAGATCTGACTAACTATTTTAGCTAATCTAATCCTAGCACCGCCTACTTTTAAGGTGACACATACAAACTCTGAAAACCCTCGTGGGGAAAGAGAAGAGTAAATAATAGCTAGCAACTAGTTATATTATAAACCGGTATATGTGCTCATTAAGGAATAAGACATGGATAATGTGGTATGACTAGGAGGATCGGGTTTTGAGTATGCTGGGCCCGGAAACCAGTTTGTTGTTGTGGTACAGCCTGTGGGTCTTTCCATATTAGGGGCCTTGTTCCCAATATGGCACGATCATCTTGCACCGATCTTTTGGAGGGGTAAGCTGACCACAGTTTTTTGGTTTGGATAGGAATTAGGAGAATAAACAAGAAGATCAACTCCATGAAAATTCTTCTTGAGTATATGTAAGTGGTGGTAATGTCAGGTATCCAGGATGGGAGCACTTGTCTAGTATATACTTCTGACCAAATATTTCAGGCAGGATCAAGACTTAGCCATGCAAAACCTTATGCATATGGCCTGTTGTGTTAGAGAATTTCCACTTTTGACGACCTACTGTATCTCTTCACGCATTCTCAGACTTCAGTACAGAGGCTAGTAACTATTGAAAGTACTCTTGGCAGCTTTTGTGTGAAAATCACAACTTCCAGTCAAAGTGATTCCATTGTGACCTTTTTCAAGTTAAGCTCTTTTAAACAGGGGAAGAGATTTTTGTCAGAAGGTCCACACCTCTTGACGAAAGCGGCTTCAGCTTGAATAAGATATATGCTTGATCAAGATAGGGGTATTGGCATTCCAGAGGATTGATGAAATGGTTATGAAGTAAAGAGAGAGAGGCCTAGAAAGAAAACCTTCAAGGGGAAGGAAAAACAATTCATTGGCAGGAAAGAGGATTGGGGGAAGGGGAAAAAGAAGAGAGGAGAAAAAGAGAAAATTGCTCTCTTGCTTGTGATTACCAGACATACACAGAGCCTCGCTGCAGAAAAGGTTGGCCAATCTCAAAACCTTTCTTTTTCTTGTCTTAGACTTCTGTCATGCGCAAGTTTTTGGTCAGTTCATACTTCCCTTAAGCAAGAGTACTTCTTCAGATATAACAGCCAGTACTACAGATATATATGAATATTTATAAATTATACTATTCAAAAAAATAATAATTTATATTTTTAAAATAATATGCAAAATGAAAAATAAATATATAAAAATAAATCAAAAGTTATAACAAGTGGTATTTTATTTTAAGTTTGAATTATAAATTTTAATTAATCAGTATTAAGAGAAACTAGCTAGTTCAAGACTTATGAAAACTTTTAAGAAAATTTAATAACCATAGATTTTATTTATCTTTACTATGAAAAAAGAATAGCAAGAGAAATATTTTGTTTATAAACTAGAAAAAAAATCACTAAAAACAATATATATTTTACAGTTATTATTTAATCATTATAACATTTTTCAGTTGATCAAAATTAAAAGATCTCTTGAAAGATTTATCAAAAAGATTAAAATTGTAAAAGAAGTATAATAAATCAATCAAAACTTAATTTTTATTGCATTAACTTTCAAATCTATTGAAAAAATTACAAAAATATTAAAAAAAAAAAAAGAAAATAGTCAAATAAAAATTATAGTTTAAAAAAATATTAAAAATATTAAAGAAAATATGCCTAAATAAAAAAATAAGCAGAACAAATCTGAAAATCAAGAAAACAATTAAGGTAAGATATAAAAATCTCAAAAACCAAAAAAAGTAGTACAAGGATTAACAAGCAACTTTAAGATAAGATAATTATAGACAAAATTCCTATTCAAGATAACTTGAGTAGAGAATACATATCAATAAACAAATAAAACCTCTACTTAAATAGAAGTATACTACAAAAAAACATTCAGAAAATAAAACATGATTTTGAATGATTTCTTATGAATTTTATTTTTTCACTACTAAATTCTTTATATAGATTAGCATATCCTTATACTATTTTATTATGAAAATAAATATAATCATAATTTAGATTTTCTATTTTTCAAATAAAGTCTTTTAAGCTAAAGTATAGATGGTATACTTGACTCAACTTTCAGAAAATTATCTGGACCTGGGAAATTAAAGATATAAGTCATATTATTAGGTGATGCTTTAATATTTGAGACACTTATTGCTTAATATTGAATAAATATTTGAAATCCTTAGTTGAGATCACAGAATTTTGATTATTTACTGGAGAAACAATTTTTAAAACTACTTAATTTATAATGTTTGAATTTGTGTATTGATTGATTTTGAAATATCATTTATATTATAGGTAATATACTTTAACTTTATTAATTTCAACTTTATTTTTTCCAAATAGCTTACAAATTTTTCTGACCTAAAAGTCTTAATTCGCAAGACAACTAATATAATACCTATTAGATGTTCTAACATCTCTTTGTATATTTGGATTTTTGTAGTTTATCAGTAACTTCTATTTTATGTCAAATTTCAATAATTTATTCTCAAAATTATCTGAATAGCAAATCCAGGATAAAATTTCTTCATGTTTAGTTTGTATAGCTTTTCTAAACAAATTGATTATACTTTATGTTGTGATTTTAGATAATTATTTTTCATTATTCATGATGTTTTCGGAAGGTGTTTCTATTATTATCGGTATCAGCGAGTCTGTTGCTAATACGAAGTTTAGACTCACATAATGATAGTGTATAGGGGTTTTGGGTCACTTGCTTAATCAAAAGTATGTATTAATAGACTTTCTTATTCTTTATTGCCAGTCTAATCCTTTACCACAATTCTTTTTGGGCCTTTAGGATTCTTATAGTGACTAATAACTTCTCAAGGCAAGTGTATTAATGTTTATATTGGAAGTACAAATGGTATAGTTTATAAGTGATTTTTTATTATTCTCTAATTGTTGTTATTGGTAACATAACTATGATGAACTACTTCTCTATGGGTGTCTATAGGGGTTACCTTCCTCTTCTAACTATCTAGCCGATTATATCTATATTTATACTGTTGCGACGCGTCTACTAAGCTTTTGTCACGTCATGCAAAATAGGATTTAGACTTTTTAAGCTTTGTAATTCATGATCCGCTGTATCGCGTCTAGTCACATGACTATAGGCGATCTGGATCGATCTACTCATTTTTCCCTGCTAACACTATAGAATCAGGTATAGCAATAAGCATAAATCTTGTATCAAGTCCAATTCTATATTTAATTTTAATAAGCTTGATTTCACAAAATGTCAAAATTTTCCACTGATAAAGTAATATTTGTGTTGGTTTTTTGCTGATCGTTTCCCAGGAAAATGGTTTTATATCACATGATGAATTGTTATCAGAAGATGCATTTTGTTCCCAAAGTTTTGTATCTCTAATTCTCTTCAATATCTCTTTACTGACCTGTTCCTTATAAATCATTTCTAGAAAGTCTAGAGTTTCAGCTGAATCGTCATCGATAATGTCTCATAACAAAGAGATTGCAGATGTTTTATATTCAGATCTTATCAAGATATGTTCTAGTTCGGGTAAGCAATTAAAAGTAATATCTTTCTCCTTATCAAAGTGATCCTCGATAGGTGATGGAGTAGATATTATTGGTAATGATGAACTGGCTAAAACATGCAATATAGTTTGATTCTGCTTCTCAACTTTATCAACGGTTCATTCCAGTTTCATGATTTGGTTTTAAACTCGACATTTTCTTCTATAATCAGTTTTAGCTTTGAGTTTTTATACTTAAGCTCAGCATTCTCGACCACAAGCTTGGCATTTTCTTATCTGAGTAAATCTAGTTTGGAAGACATGCTTGATATCGAGTTTTATGTATTTTGACGGGTATTGTAGAAATCAGGAAGTTTCGCAATTAACAGACGTGAAAGTTAACCATCTAAACCTACTGATTTGCGTAACCCAAATCCAATTTGATCTGTAATAATGATAATTGTTAAGATTTCATTATGCCGAAGTTATTGAGATTTCTTTTGTTTGTTTTTTTGTAAGAAATCTCTGTTAAAATGACTAACAAAAAGAAAAACAGTTAGTTTGCGGCCATATATTTTTAACAATAATATAATCTTTAGAATTCTATAATAAATACTCATTAGTTTTTCATATTTCGGCAATGTTTAACATCTCATTTATATTATTTTAAATAAATACAAAGTAAATACCCAAGCATATACTGTATATTTCTAATATAGTAACTATGACAAGTGATAATGAATTCGATTTGCTATATTATCTAGTATCGATGATTTCAACAGTTCTAATTATTGTAGTGACAAAAGTTTGGGAAAAAGAAACATGAAATTAATAGAGATGACCGACGAAAAGATCCAATTTGGAATGATTTTAATATTGGAGTTTCAATTGTAATGGACATTATGGTGCATCTGTAAATATTGTGCTAAGGTTATATGGCAACGTGGTAGACTGGCAGTAATGATGACTCATTTGACATTACATTATAATGGATCTGTGCCTAATGACATTAGAAACAAATGACTAGTAGCTTTGGCAAGAAATACAGAAAAGAATATTAATGGCATTAGTGATAATAATGATTATAGGGATACTTTATCAGCAAAAAAAGTTAGAAAAGAAGAAACAAACAATTTAAATAATCATATTACTGAAGATCGAATTGATGCAATTAATTGTGTATTACTTAAGGCATTCGTATGTTGTGGTATTCCTGGGCTATAATTAACAATCCTTTTTTTAAAGACTTGTTACAGATTTTGGAACCAAATTATTTACCATCAAGTCATTAAACTCTTTCAGAAAAATTCTTAATAAAGAATGGCACTCATTATAGTCAAAACAGATAATCAGTTACAAAATTATGAAAATTTTAACCTTAACATTGGATGGATGAAGTAATTCATCAAATAATTCAATTTATAATTTTATGATTGCATCTGATCGAAAAGAAATTTATATTCTATAGTTGATTTACATTATATAAACAAACTGGATAACTTATAGCCAATGAAATCATCAAAATTGTGGATACTGTGGGCTCCCACCATTTTATTGCTTGCGTTACAGATACTGGAAGCAATGTTCGATTAGCTCGAGAAATTACTACAAAAATTATTCACATATTTTAAATATAAGATATATTGCATATACAATTAATCTAATTGCAACAGATTTAGTTAAAATTTCTCAAATTAATCAAATTATCAAAAAAAGAAAATAGTGTTATTGAATTTTCAAGCATTCTCATCAAGCTAGTGAATTATTTCAGGACAACATTAATATAATGAAAATTGAAGGTGGGGCTTAAAAGCATATGTAAAAACTCGATGGTATTCACTTTATAATACAGCTAATTCAATTATATGATGCAAGCCAATATTTGATAAGCTATTATATACTGTAATTATCCTGGAAATTTAATTATGGAAGAAGTAAAAATTACTATGGGTATAGGAAATATGAATTTTATAGTTAAAGATATAATTGATAATATTAATTTGATATTATAGTTTATATAAATAATATTGTATTGCATATCAAATGACACTTATTATATTTCTACTGTATATTGGAATTTTGACATTTGACTATTTGAGATTCGTCATTAGTATTACACTACTATTGCCGAAATTTACGGGTTTACTTGACATCTCTAGTAATAGTGCATGATTGATCTTATATCAGATTGATTTGTATTTATATAAAATGCAAAAATGTCACCACTAAATTTTAAATCCAAACTTGATGTCTTATTTCACATATATGGTAGCAAACTTGGTCGCCGGTCTATCAATAATCCTTTTCATGACCACTGTGATTCTTACTGTTGGAATTGTGATATATAATATCTGTCTGGTTGAATCCATTTCTCGGATTGCAAATTGGTTCTTCTTCTGATACCTCTTAGTTCTTTTTTATTGCTTGTGTTTCTTTGCTAAGCACCTTTCTTGCATATCTTGGCAATCTTGGAATCTGGAGCATTATCTTGATCCTGAATATTTCAAGATAAATTAATAGCCAATACTGTACTGGGTTTGTGTAATTGTAAATTGTCTAACCCAAAATTTTCACCTTATGAAAATGTCCAAAGCAAAAATAGATATTGCAAACTTGGATTTCAGCCATACCTACACATTTGAAGAGTTCTAGTTAATTAACGAATAGCTCAAAACACACTTCTTAGAAGTCAATGGCCAACCAATCAATTTGTTTGACCTTAACAAAAATGGAAAGCTTGTTCCAATGCCACAGGCCACTCACTGCATGAAGATTACTATTGCAGAGATTGTCAGACAGCTTGGTAATTGAAACATTCAAACTTGACAGAACAGGAACATAAAAACATCACAAAGAGGATTCAATTTAGTGTTAAAGGTCAAAAAACGATCAGAGCTCCTGATATCTCCTTTATATCCAAATCAGTATCTCGCCAATTGACTGAATTATAATGTTGAACTTTCCAGGGTCAACCATTTACTCCCATGTTTATTGTCGAGGTTGGAAATATCACAATTATATCGATGTTCAAAGAATTAGATAACAGATTTAAACATAAATATTTTGCAGATAGAACATCTGTACAACTCAATTGGCTAGTTGATCCTCAAAATAAAAGAATCTGGATATACAAGTGAAATCAACAAGGCAATGTCTTTTGTTATGAGTATGCATGGGAAGATGTAGAGGGTGGTGATGTTTTGCCGATGTTCATATTGAAGGTGTAAATGATTGAAGAAGCAATTTCACAGGTGTGTCATCACTATTGCTTCTATGTAATATATTTACAACTCTTTGTTTTTTTATTATAGGAATCTTCCGAATCATTGTCAAAAAGTGATGAACCAGTCGACTGTCCTAAATATGGTATTACTTTTCAAGATAATTATGCTTTTATGAAACATTTTTCAAAAAAGTATAGTAGTAATCGGCATAGAGCATAATGTTTATATTGAATTATGTCATGTATTTAAACAAGTGCACTTGGATCATTATATCTATGCACTCTATGCATTAATGTTTCAAATATATGATATAGTAATTCACATTACTTTATTAATTTTTGTTTAAAGACAAAAAAATTACCAAACTTTGAGATTATGTCTACTTGATCACATCAAGTACATCCCAGAATTTAAGTTTGTCTAGTATCTTTCTTAACCTGTAATACTATATATTTAATATTTTCCAAACTTAAATTTGAAATTGATGGTGTAGTAAATGTTTTTCTTCATTGAATATGTCACCTTTAAACTTATCTCCATCAATACAAAACTTTTTCTCCACCAATATAAAAAAAAAAGATTGTTAACTTTTTGGCTCTTTATTTTTTTTTTGAGTGCATTCTTGGAAACTTTCTTTGGAAGTTGATTTCAAACTTTATTATTGATCTTTTGAGCCTTATGTTTTTCCATATACTGTAATGTCTATAATTGGTAAGACGGTTTTCCAGTTCTTTTCTAAAGAAGTAACATATTATTAAAACTTTATGACATGTATTATTATTATATTCTTTAACCTTAATATTTTTAAATATAGATTAAAACCCAGGAACTCTTAACCTTTCATAAATTTTTATAAAGACCTTTTTTCTCACTAATTTCAGAAATTCAAGTAATGTTAGAAGAAAATTTTCAAATAAATCTTTTTAATATGATCAAATTCTTTTTTTTAATTACTTTTTTAGCTTTTTTATTGAAGGAGTTTTCTGTTAATATATTTATGATTTCATTAGTTCAATTTTACCTTTGAACCGAATTGGGTCTCAACTTGGAATTCTTTTTTCTTCTTTTCTTTATTTTTGTTTTTATCACTCATAATTACTTCTTTATTATGGGATAAACATTTGAAAGAATTAATTCTAATATTATTGATAAATTCACCAACTAGATTCAAGATTTCACTTATTTGAAAAGATACAGAGCTTTGTCTTGAACTCTTATTAATAACATCAATACTTTTGTCACAACCAGAAAGAGAATATATACTTGATATCATATATATAACTTTTTTTCAATACAAATTTTATAAAAAATATATTTATATTTGAGTATAATAAATATCTTATAAGCAACTGCTAAAATATCTTTGGTACATATTAAGCATTTTGAAATTTCTGGAATTTTATACAGATTGATATTGTTCTTAATGATTTTTAAAATACATATTATATACTATATAAGGACTTTGGGATTTAAAAAAGTTTATATTAATAATAATATAATTAGAAACAAATTTCTTATATAATCTATCTGTTTTATAATATATTATTTTTGATTATAAAATAACAAGTTTATATTAAAAGATCAAAAATTAATATGTTTATTAAAACATATAAATTAATTATACATTTCAAATTAAATGATTTCAAATAAGAATATTATTTATTGTTAATATAAAACTAATATCAGAATTAATAAATGGTTTAATAATCAATTTTATTAATATAAAAAATAAATTATATAAATATATAAAATAAAAAATTCATCTATTTATAACTTTATAAATTATTTAATTTTGGTTTTTTTATTAACTAAAAAATTATTAATATTAATTTAATCTTTTAATAAAATCATAATTAGAAATAAAAGTAACTTTATTAATTTTTTTTTTAATAGATATTAGATGCCAATCACTTTATTAATATATACAGTATATAATATTACAATTACATCAAATATTGTTTGTAATACTAGACTATAGCTAATGCTACCCTATTTTACTTTTATTACTTTAGTGATACTAGTGATACTTATGAAATAGGTTTATATTTTTTGTGGAATATCTATTTAGAAGATGGAAATTCTATTACTAGTTTTAAACTATCTAACTTACTAGTTTAATTTTTGTATAAGAATAGTAAATACTGCTGACTATTTACCTAAGTTACTTATTATCTTTTTACTTATACAACTAATATGACAAAGGAGTCTTAATATGACATATGTATTCTCTAGTAAATGTTCCAGTTTTTAATCACTGGTTAGCTTTAAGTTACCAAATTTAAAGGCTTTTGTGACCAAGTAAGCATAACTTCTTAAGGACCATATAGATTATATTTAAACAAGCTCCTTGATTCCTTAATCTTCTAATAAATACTTTAGTTTCAAAAACAGTTAACTTAGGCTACCAAATCTAGGAACATAAATATCAAGCAGAATACAACTCCTACATACTATTGATAGGAAAATAATATGGAACATAACCGTACAAACACATTTTGGCATGTTATATATCCTGATTTTTATTAGCAGATCAATTATAGTCTATAGCAATATGTAAAACAATAATATAACTTTAGAAAGTTTAAGTTAGTCATAAGCTTAAATAACTTATTAATTATAAATGGTTTATTATAGTTTAGTGAGAAATACATAATTTTTTTTTTTACACGACTAGTAGGGCCTTACCCAACATTGGACGAATTTATTTAGTTCATATATGTATCTTACATGTATTACAGATAATTACTATCTATGAGCTATTCTAGACCACCGTGGATTATTATCAGATTTTACCCCCATATCGGCTTTTTGCTATCGACCGCCATCTCAGACAAGTCAAGGCTAATATGCATTTTGCTCCATTAGTGTCGCTATTTTATATTAAGTTCTATTTCTAACTGGGAATGTTTTAAGGGAAAGTGAAAGGGGAAACTGGGGGGTAGTACTTATTATGGCGAATAGAACTCTGTAGAGGAAGCCTCTAACCCAAACCGGGCTATCGGTAACTTGCAGGAAGAGACATCAGGTACCACGGGGAGACGATCACCAAGCCATCTTTTCTCAAACCGGACACCTTCTATATCTTTTAGTTGTCCAACTTCTGGCGATCATCATAGCACCAACTGGACGATCGTCACACCACAACTCCTTTTCTGGAGATCACAATCTTAACACCTACCGGATCAGCATGTGAAATGGTTTCTTATGAGAAACGACACGTAACTGGTTATGGTGCCAGATACCATATTAATTCTATTCAATCGCCTTCACATGGGATTGAACTGGTATCTTGTGATCTGACCTGTGGAGCACTAACCACTGTGCTATGGACCCACAGGTCTAATTTTATCTAAGTTAAATAATTATTTATTAAATTATATTAAAAAATATTAGTCCAAAAACTTTTGTGCCACATAGTATACTTTAATATTAATTGTTTTTATTAAATTTATATTTTTTGTATAGTTTTGATTTAAATTAATTGTTTAATATTTTTTTAAATATTTTTTTACCTTATAATTGATTATTTCTATATTTCTAAATTTGAATATATTGAGTTTTGAATTAGTTTTTAACTTAAACTTTGATTAAACTTTTAATTATATGGATTTCTATAAAAATATATAACTCTTTGTTTTTCTTTAACTTTGTAATATTATTATTTAATTAAATAAAAGTAATAACTTATTTTTAGAGAGACTTATTGATATTTAAATAAATTTTATTACTCTGATATTTATATTAATAGCTTGATAAATTTTTGTTTTTTAATTTATAAATTTATTTATTTCTTTATATTTTTTTTTTTTTTTTTTTTTTCCGTAGTCAAACAAGTGCGTATGTTTATTAAATCTTTACAGAAAACAAATAATGTATGATACATTGT